CTGTCACAATAAGCATTTAACTATGCACTATGTAACTTTTTACTTGGGGGTCTGTCACGTTTCTATGGATATGTCCTCTGCTTCTAATGTTCCACAATATGACATTAAACAGATCTACCTTACATTACATACATTTATTCAATTACGGGTGGATTTATAGCTCAAAAATAACCTAGAAAAACTGGCATTCTGCCTAAACGCGGTTGTTTCTCCACAGATCTGACCTTTAACTTGGCCTAGTTTGGTTTCTATGGTCTCTAAAATTGTAAAAACAACTCAGACCATCAATTTTGACACCCTGCAGCCACTCACAATTATCCAGCGACTCTTATTTGACCTCAATCCACCAGTTGAGAATCACTGTTTTAAAGCTCTAGTTTTCAATATTGTATTTAAGGGCGTAATTGGTGACTAATGTTTACATTTTGTTGCATTCTTCAGCTGTGGTTTATTTGTCTACTAGTCCTTTGTAAGTTTCTGAACAATCTTGTAAGAAAACACAATAAATTATTAATTATGTATTGAAAATTATATAGAATTTGAGTATTATGAATTGAGATTGTGCCTACCGTATTTTCTGCACTATAGGGCGCTCTGGATTATAAGGCGCACTGTCATTGAATGGTCTATTTTCCAAGTTTTTTCACATATAAACGGCACCGGACTATAAGGTGCATTAAACGAAACACAACAGTTAGATAAGTCAGTCAAATTTTATGTAACATGTTCACAATCACTCTCAACTTTGTTCAATTCTAAAGCATAAAAAAAATACTGTCTGTGACGCTAAATTGTTAGAGTATTCAAAATAACTCATAAATGTTCAAACAGTTGGCCGATTACAGCATCCATCACGTCCACATCCCTCTCATTATCTGAGTCAGTGTGGTTACTGTTCCCTGGCAGTTCAGTGATGATTCTGGTCTTGGTGAAAGCTCGGACCACAGTTGATACTGATCCTTAGTCCAGGCGTCCACGATCCATTGGCAGATCGTGGTGTAAGTGGCTCGGCGCTGTCTCCCTGTCTTGGTGAATGTGTGTTGTTCTTCTCTCATCCACTGCTCCCACACAGCTCACACTTTCACTTTATAACAGCCTTGAGTTTAAAGTGGGCGTTGTAAGTGTGTCTCTTGACAGGTGCATTTTGATATTAAAAGGAATCACAGTATGTATACTCTACGATGCTTCTGACTACGGGAGCCATAATGCTGCAAGTGGTGCGACTTTGTAGTTTACTAAAGTCGTACTGAGACACTCCAATAAATTCATATATAAGGTGCTCTGGATTATAAGGCGTGCAGTCGTGCTTTGATGAAATTAAAGACTTTTAAGTGCGCCCTATAGTGCAGAAAATACGTTATATGTCAGTTGTGGAGTTAAAGACGCACTGTGTAACTTTTTGGTTGGGGGTCCATCACCTGCTGGTTTCTATGGATATGTCACTGCTCTGATTGTAATGTTCTACAGTATGACATTAAACAGCTCTGCCTTACATTTATTCAATTACAGGTGGTTTTACTGCTCAAAAGTACCTAGAAAAACAAGCATTCTGACTGACCTGTAACTTGGTCTGGTTTGGTCTCCATGAAGATAGAAAGGTTTAATGCCATACTGTGAAACATTCCAGACAAAGCAATAACATCTCCATGGAGACAAGTATCTGACAGACACTCCACGAGAAAAGCAAAACACAATGCAGCGTGTTACTCTACAGTCCAACTACATCTTTTACACACTGCACTACATAACAACATGTACTAATGTGTAATATTTCTAATGTACTTAGTTTTAGATCTACTGCAGTGATTTATTTACTTGACCAGTCTCAGTCCTGGTCTGGTCCCAGTCTCAGTCCCGGTCTGGTCCTGATCTGGTCCCCGTCTCAGTCCTGATCAGCCGACAGTCTACGCGGGCGCACCTCCAAGCCCGTCCTGACATTCCTGCTTCAGTCCTGCTTCAGTCCTAGTTTAGTCCTGGTTTAGGACTGAGACCAGGCCCAAACCAGGACTGAGACCGGGACCAGACTGGGACTGATACCAGGACCAGCCCGGGACAAGTTTAGGACTTAAATCAGGACAAGACCAGGACCAGACCGGGACTGAGACCAGGACTGAGACAGGAACCAGACTGGGATCAGACCGGAACTGAGACCAGGACTGAGACCGGGACCAGACCGGACCAGATTGGGACCAGACCAGGACTGAGACCAGTTTAGTCCTGGTTTAGTCCTGTTTTAGACCTGGTTTAATCCTGGTTTAGTCTTGGTTTAGTCCTGGTTTAGTCCTGGTTTAGACCTGGTTTAGTCCTGGTTTAGACGTGGTTTAGTCCTGGTTTATTCCTGGTTTAGACCTGGTTTAGTCCTGGTTTAGACGTGGTTTAGTCCTGATTTAGTCCTGGTTTAGACCTGGTTTAGTCCTGGTTTATTCCTGGTTCAATCTGTATGTGGTGCAAAAGTCCGGCATCACAGTTTAAGTCACGGAAACGGGAAACGTTATCTGTTTTTTCCATTATTCATTTAAACACAAACTCGAAAACTGAAAAAAAAAAATAATAAATAAATAAAAATCATTATCCATTCTTTTCATTTTGGTTTTGGAGACAAATAATGAAGAACATTTTTTTTTTTTTTTGTTTTCTTATTTTTGGTTTAATTTTGAAAAATGAATGAATGAATGATACACGGCCGTATAAAACAATAAAAAAATAAAATAAAAACACCAGGATCGTGTAGAGCGGGTTAAACTAATATTTTACGGTAAAAATGAGTCTGACAGCAGGAGCTACAGAGAGAGAGGCCACAGGTTTTCAACAGAAAGTGCGCTGGAGTGGAGTTGATGGAACCAGCGCCCGTACTCACTTCCTATTTGGAACGTGGCAGCTAGCCAGCCAGATGTGTCCATTTATATACAGTCTGTATGGGAGATGGAAGTAAAGGAGAGGTGTTTGAAGGTACAGTATATTATGACCAATTTTATTTTATTTTTACATTTGTTTATTTATGAGGAGACAATGCACATAAAAAAAACATGGAGCTACACAAAGAAGTCACATGTTTGTGTAAGTTATAGCAAAATTGCTCATTTCCACCTTCAGTCCCTGGACAGGTTGAGGTTATAAATAGCGTACATACCATATTTTTCAGACTATAAGTCACACTATTTTCATGGTTTGGGTGGTCCTGCGACTTATGTATTAAAATGTTCATACTTACGAGAGAGGGCGCTCTAGTCTTGTGTGTCAGAATCTGCTGCTCCTGTTTCTCCTGTACCACTGTCACTTCACTCTACTGCACATGGGCCCGGTCAAGCAGAAGTAAACAGCAAGGCCAAAAATTCAAGTTAATGCATCTGATATAAAAATGTATTGAACAGATACATATGTACTCTAGTTTATGAAACTGTTGACCTTTTTTCTGTACAATTTTTGGTTCTAAAGTTCCATATGTTTTAAACAGACCATGTATGAAACATGGAACAAAAATTATTTCACAAATTTCAAAGACCTGCAAATCATGTAAATAAATGGATGTATTTCATCATATCTTGTGTTATTCCATCTTTGAACTGTTGATGAAGGTACATGATTAAAAATAATAATAATTTAGCTTGGAAGGACTGACATATTTTATAGAAATAGTTTCCTTTCATTTTGAAGTAATATTAAAGTATTCAGAAGAAAAAAGTTGACAAATTATGCAAAATCCTGCACCTTCTACTTGTTTGCACAATTTCCCCTCCGTTACTTTTCCTTCCGTTACCATGACCTTTCTTAATAAAAAAATCTCATGACTCAAAAAGTAAGAGGTTTTTCAACCTAATCTTGTACCATATGGTAGAAAACTATATGAAGCAAATATTCAAACCAGTTTGTTAAGGATATGGAAGTGAGAACCAAGAGTTATCACTGTTTGGATTTATTGCCCAAAAAGTGCTGCATATTTCATTCCCTCCATTACCGATATGAGTTTTTTTTTTTTTTTTTTTTTGTCAACAACTTGAAAGAATATCACAGGTTTAACTTGACCCTGTTGGAGTGTAACTCTTTCCTACATTCTGATACTTTACTTATTTCAATAGTCCCTCTAGTTTCTGAATAAGAGACATTTGAATGTCAAAAATCTGCCCCTGTTTCCCTCCGTTACCACTTGACTGGACCCACATGTCTCCTGCAGAAAGAGCCTCTGTCCTGTCTGTATCATGTCAGTCGATCGCACCATTACTTCTGTGCCACTGAAAATTTTAATAACTAAACTTATAAAGACGACTGAGAAGACTGAACACAGATGCCCCCAAAAAGAAAATCATATTTTTCAGATTACAAACTGCAAATAGCAAAATCTGCAGCTGATAATTTTAATCAAGCAGCAGAAAGAAAGTCTGAAGTGAGCTAGAGACTGGAGAACACAGCTTCACGACAACCAGAAGGATGCACCATGCAACTTTTCTGGAAGTGACTGGATGGATGGACAAAGCCTGGACTTCAGTGACACTGAAACCATCCTGTCGGGATTCAGAAAGACCAGAATAATTCTAACTGGAACTGATGCTGAGTCTGACGACAGATACACAGAAGAGGAAGCGGTGCTCTGTTTACCTCCAGAGGTCACAGAGTTGTTCAGAAGTGACACCGAGGATGAAGAATTAAATGGATTTAGTGATTTGGAGTGAGATGGAGAGTTTGGTAAACTTGTTCTGTTCTGTTGTTTATGTTATAGTTTATCTGAAGAACTGTTGATATGTGACGTCAACAGTCTGTTGTTGTTGTTGTTACTGTATCTTGTCTTTCAACATGAAATATCGGTTCCTGGTCTCTGATTTTACCAAATAAATTTCCCCCCAAAAGTGCAACTTATTGTCCGGTGTGACATATATATGTTTTTTCTTCTTCGTTAAACCTTTCTTGGCTGGTGGAACAACTTATAATCCAAAAAATATAGTATATGAAGCCTCAGTTGTTAAAGAATTTCTAATATGTGTAAAATTCATCACGTTGAACTTCAGTGCATTTCCAAGTTTATTAATGTGACTTTTAAAGTTTAAAGTTAAGTTTTGAGTAGAGTAATAGACCTAAATATTCTACATTCCATAGAGTGGCTTGGCAAAATCATTTATAAAGGCAACATGTTTGTCCCATAACGTTGTGGGGTTTTTTTTGTTTTGTTTTTTTGTAATTTCTTCAATGTTACTTTGCCTGTGGCTGTTGAATGGGCAATGAGGCCAGGCTGTAGATATTGTTTTCCTTGGAAGGAGCAGGAGTGATTTCCACAGAACCAGGGATCTCTTCATACAATTGGTTTATCTGGAAAAAACAAAACAAAACAAAAAAACATGACATTTTAGACTAAATATAGGCGAATTTAAAGTGCATATGATAAGTTTTCACGTTTTACTAATTATGACTTGTTTTGGTGAGATAGTACCTGTGTAAATATTTAAAATAGTTTGTAGTGTGTAGTACATAGCCTATGAAGTAGCAGAATACCTCTACTTACACATATATGTAATTTAAAAATCCTATGTGAATGAACATGCAAGGAACACATTTTTCTAACACTTTAAACATTCATTAAACAAAATAAAGGTGTTACTTCTATGGGATGGCCTTTCATTTTAAAACTGCTAACACAATCTTTTAAAGGTTTCACTTCTGAGTCTTTGCTCTCCGTGGACTATCACAACATAATCAGCGCACATCCTGATAATGAAACTACTGCATGAATCACTCCACATACAATTTCAGGTGAGTAAATGGTGAGGGAAACAACTATATTGTTAAAAGCTCTTAAATGTTATTGGCAGCAAGTAAAAAGGCAATAACAAGGAAATGGCTTAAACCTGAGCAACCAACAATTGAGAACTGGATTGACATTGTGCAAGAGATCTACATGATGGAAAAGGTTTCATTTTTACTGAAAGTGCAGCTGGACTCATTTTACAAGATGTGGACTAGGTGGACAGAATATGTAAAGCCAGTGAGATCAGACTTCATATAAAACTACCTCATAGTTGCAATATTCTGTTAAATTGTGAAACAGGTTCCCTGGCTCCCCAACCTGTTCTGAGTTTGTATATGTTTTCAAAAAAATTGTAAGAGCAGGAACATGTGATTTAATTTTACACACTGCAAAATGTAATCTGCTTTTTCAATAAAAAGTAAATTTGAAAAAAAAAAAAAAAAGCTCTGAAATGTTAAAATTGCGGAATAGTTCTGGTTTAAACATTCAGTGCATGCTAATTGCAAGCAAACAACATTTTTTAGATCACTGGTTCAGAATATTTCTAGTTCAGTTTGTGTGTGTGTGTGTGTTTGTGTGTGTTTATATGCCTGTGTGTGTGTGTGTTTGTGTGTGTTTTATATGCCTGTGTGTGTGTGTGTTTGTGTTTATATGCCTGTGTGTGTTTGTGTATGTGTGTTTGTATGTATGTGTGTTTGTGCAAGTGTTTGTATGTGAGTGTGTGCGTGTTTGTATGTGTGTGTTTGTATGTGTGTGTGTGTTTGTGTGCGTGTATGTGTGTGTTTGAATGTGTGTGTTTGTGTTTGTATGTGTGTGTGTGTTTGTGTGTGTGTGTGTGTATGTGTGTGTGTTTGTATGTATGTGTGTGTTTGTGTGTGTGTTTGTATGTGTGTGTGTGTGTGTGTGTGTGTGTGTGTGTGTGTGTGTGTATGTTTGTGTGTGTGTGTTGTGTGTGTGTGTGTGTTTGTTGTGTGTGTGTGTTTGTGTGTGTGTGTTGTATGTGTGTGTGTGTGTGTTTATGTGTGTGTTGTGTGTGTGTGTGTGTGTGTTGTGTGTGTGTGTGTGTGTTATGTGTGTATGTTGTTTGTTGTGTGTGTGTGTGTTTGTGTATGTGTGTGTGTGTGTGTGTGTGTTTGTGTGTGTTGTATGTGTGTGTGTGTGTTTATGTGTGTGTTGTTTATATGTGTGTGTGTGTTTATTTGTGTGTGTGTTTATATGTGTGTTTGTGTGTGTGTGTTTATATGTGTGTTTGTGTGTGTGTGTTTATATGTGTGGGTGTGTGTGTGTTTATATGTGTGTGTGTGTTTATATGTTGTGTGTGTGTGTGTGTGTGTGTGTGTGTGTGTGTGTGTGTGTTGTGTGTGTGTGTGTGTTTATATGTGTGTTTGTGTGTGTGTGTTTATATGTGTGTGTGTGTGTGTGTGTGTTTATATGTGTGTGTGTGTGTGTGTGTGTGTTTATATGTGTGTGTGTGTGTTTATGTGTGTGTGTGTGTGTGTTTGTGTGTGTTGTGTGTGTTATGTGTGTGTGTTGTGTGTGTGTGTGTGTTTATATGTGTGTGTGTGTGTGTGTGTTTATATGTGTATGTGTGTTTATATGTGTGTGTGTTTATATGTGTGTGTGTGTGTGTTTGTGTGTGTGTGTTTATATGTGTGTGTGTGTTTATATGTGTGTGTTTATATGTGTGTGTGTGTGTGTGTGTGTGTGTTTATATGTGTGTGTGTGTGTGTGTTTATATGTGTGGTGTGTGTGTGTTTATATGTGTGTGTGTGTGTGTGTGTTTATATGTGTGTTTGTGTGTGTTTATATGTGTGTGTGTGTGTGTGTTTATATGTGTATGTGTGTTTATATGTGTGGGTGTGTGTGTGTGTGTGTGTGTGTGTTGTGTGTGTGTGTTTATATGTGTGTTTGTGTGTGTTTATATGTGTATGTGTGTTTATATGTGTGGGTGTGTGTGTGTGTGTGTGTGTGTGTGTGTGTTTGGGCAGCATGGGTGTAAACACAGTAATGTAAATATTGCATTACAACCTTAAAACACATAAGACACACACTGTTCCACTGATGTCACAGTGAACATACATCAGGCTGTGAAAAGATTTTTACTCTGCAAAATCCTGTAGCTCCTTTCCTTGTTGCCTCTTCCAGGTTGCTATTTGCTCATGAAAGACCAAGGTACTTGTAATTGTCCTCAACATCTGCTATAGTTCCCTCCATAGGTTCTAGCTGGTTTGCTCAACTTGTAAGTCACTGCTCTTTCAGATGGGAGACCTGGGTTCAAATCTTCCTTCTGACTTTGTGTAGTTTTTTTAAACTACATCATATAATTAAAGAATACAAACATTACATGGAACATACAAAGACAATGTAGTTGATCGTGCACATTACCTGTAAATGTCATGCAAAATGTTCACTTTATCTTTACTAGTTTTTCATCATATAGTTGTATGAGAAAAATGCAAAAGGGGAAACACTTTCAGGAGTAAACCACACATGACACATATTAACCTTATATAAAGATTTACTACAAAGACAGTGGTAAATTCTTTTTTTTTTTTTTTTCAGTTTTTTTCATATGGGTATACTGTATTTTTTGGAATATAAATCACACTTTTTTTTCATGGTTCCTGCTGTTATACTCTGGTACGGCTTATATATTAATATGTTCACACTGACAGCCTCGAGAGGGCGCTGTCGACCGCACCATTACTTCTGTACCACTGAAAATGTAAAACTTTAAACAAACTTATAAAGACAACCAAAACCATCCTGTCGGGATTCAGAAAGGCCGGACTAATTCTAACTGGAACTGATGCTGAGTCTGACAACAGCTACACAGAAGAGGAAGCGGTGCTCTGTTTACCTCCAGAGGTCACAGAGTTGTTCAGAAGTGACACAGAGGATGAAGAATTGAATGGATTTAGTGATTTGGAGTGAGATGGAGAGTTTGGTAAACTTGTTCTGTTCTGTTGTTTATGTTATAGTTTATGTGAAGAACTGTTCATATGTGACGTTAACAGTCTGTTGTTCTCTGTTCTGTTGTTATTACTACAACTTGGCTTTCAAGATGAAATATCGGTTCCTGGTCTTTGATTTCATTAAATAAATTTCCCCAAAAAAGTGCAACTTATATGTTGTTGTTTTTTTTCTTCTTCTTCATTACGCATTTTTTAGCTGGTGTGACTTACATTCCAGAGCAATTTATATTCTGAAAAAATACAGTAAGTAGTCTGATCTGTGAAATACACTTTAGTGTTGTGGGTAACACTTCAGTTTCTTACCCGTTCTTGTGCACTGGAGGCCAAGATATAGACCGTCTGTGTGGTTTTCTGGTGGGAGGAAGAAAAAGAAGTACAGTTTTCCACAGGACCTGGTGTGATCTGAGCTGGGATCTCCTCATACAGTCTGCTCATCTATAAAACATTCATTTTTTGTTTAACACATTGTGAACAAGCTACAATCTTGTCTAGTAAAATGTTAGTTATTAAAACTGAAAGAAGTTTTTGTCCTTGTTCCATAGTTTTAATCTCTGACACCTCTGGGACATTATGTTATAATTTGAACATTTTAAATCACAATATTAATCAAACATGTTGAAATGAAAGAGACAAGTCTGCTGACTTCCACGGTTGAAAACTCCAGTCCCATGACCTTTTTCACAGCAGTCAGAAGTATCACATTAGCACATAGCCAAACTTCAAACTTCAAACTCAATGGTTTTCTAAGGCACAATATCTGTGGAAATGTCTTGTGTATTCTCTGCCAGCTTAATAAATCTGTCTGCCAATTTTTTTTTTTTTTTTTAGCAATTCTGGGTCCAATTTAGGGTTCAAAACTCTGGGGCCTGGGACAACAGACTCCTTTGACCCCTGTCTAACATTATGGAAATGAATAACTTAAGAGAAACTTGTGAATTCAGTGTTTTGCACAAGAGAGACGCTGTTACATGAGCTCTCTGTAATAAACACCACCGACTGTACGATCTGTGACATCCTGATATAATAAAGCCATAAACACAACAGAATAGACTAAATAATCAAATGTTATTAAGAATTGCCCCTTGAGATGCATCATCTCTTTTTTGAGGGGCTCCTGTAACAACAATGAATGACTATGGACAAAAGTCATATACAAAACTTATTCCATCCAATCACATACAAGACAAATTCCATCCAATCACAAGACATGCTGCTCTTCATCCTTCTGTCCCACACCCCCAAGATCCCCACCATGAAACATAACATGTGCACAGGTCTTTCCTCATGCAGTCTACAAATCAAGCGTGTAGAACTATGATGGCCCTAATGCTTTTATTTTCCAATTCAGTCCAATTCAACTTTATTTGTATAGCACATTTAATAAACAAGAAGGCTTCCAAAGTGCAATGTAAAACATTCAACTTTAAGAAGTCAGCAGAATTATGTTCCAGGCAAAAGGAACTAATAGAAACAACACATAAAAGAATAGGTAAAAGAAGTACTAATAAAAATAAGTAGATAAAAACAGTAAATATATAAACAAAAAAATAAAATAACAGAAAAGAATAATAATGATGCATCAATTTTATATAGTGCTTTTGTGGACACTCTAAGACGCTTTACAGAGCATTATTCATTCATTCCACACTCGGTGGTGGTAAACTACTATTGTCACAGCTGCCCTGGGCAGACTGGTGGAAGCAAGATTGCCAACCTGCAACATTGACCCTACAACCACCACCATCCTCACACACACACACACACACACACACACACACACGCACGCACACACACCACTTTCATACTAGGCAATGTGGGTGAATTGACTGGCACCCCCCTGAGGCACCTAAAAAAAAAAAAAAAGAAAAAAACCACAACAGAGGATAACAGAGCTCACACGGTGTTAGGAGCCACCACTTTTATATAAACTCATTTTTATATAAACTTGGGTTTATCCAGATATGTTGTATTTAATTGTAAAATGTCTGAAAAAATGAGACTTTTAAAGCATTACAAGCTCTTTATGCCAAAATCGGCTGTGTTCAGAAACTTTCACTGAAATGACATATGTGGGATCTCATAGCTCCTTATGCTCCTGAAGCTGTGGAGTTTCCTTTGCTAAAGGAGCTGTGAAAGGAAGCATGCAGGCTCCTTTTCCTAACGCCTTCCTCACTCAGCGCACTATTCTGAGCTATTTGATGAATTCAGAACAGGACTTTCTCTGATCTGAATCCTACGTAAACCCAGGACCTACAGCCAATCATGAATCAGTGCTAGTGCAGCCTCTGCTGCTACAGGAAGTAACTGAAACATGTAAAGACGGTAAACAAACTCCTGTCTGACTAAAAGAATCACTAATTCTTGTATGTGTCCTGTCTGCAGGTTAAGACAACGGCACCAGGTTCAGTTGGGATTGTTAAGTACTTTTTAAAAACTGTGTTAGCGCAGAATACATACAGTTCCTTCAAGGAGTATTTCATTTCTATTTTATTTGTATTGGCTCACCTCTGGAATTTCACAGTCATCAGCAGCAGTTGGATCTTCTGTAAAAAAGTGTTAAATGAACCAGACGGATAAAAAAAAAAAAGTGCATTGTTTCCATTGGAGTGTGGCTCACCTGTTGGTCTATTGGTTTTCTTTTTCCAGCACCAAATCAAAATACTCCCTGATACAATAATCAGAATGGTGGTTACACTCACAGCAACATACTGCAGCACAACTGAAAGAGACACGTTCAGAAGTGTCAGTGAAACTCAAATCATGCAGATGTAATTCTGAACATCATTTTTCAGAAGCTACCAGACAGTGTGGATGAGTTGTGCTCCTCCTGAGGTTGCTGTGAGCTCGTCACTTCAGATGCTTCTTGTGTCCTTTGTGTCGTCTGTGCTGGTGTCACATTATGGAGGGATGTGGTGGGAGCAGCTCCGAGGGTCAAACCTGGTGTTGGGGTTTCCACTGCAAAGAAAGATTAAAGGAGACATGTTAAGAAAGCTGCACAATATAATGCAGTAAATGAACTTATTGTGCCAAAACGTACATTCAAATAACACAATAATATTGTTATCACAATGGAAAACAGTTATCAAATATAGCTTTTTGTTCCTCATATCATGCAGCCCTAATATTAAAGCTTCAGTTCAATTTTCAGACACACTAAGAAAGCTGCACTATATATCACAAAAAAAAAAAAAAAAAAATCAATACTATATGACTGGCTGGTGCAATAATCAACCTCTACAATAACATTTGACAGAAGTGTACTAAAGTAACACGGACAAAAATGCAGATTTGATTCATGATTTTTCTTCTTATTAGACTTGGGTTGTTCTTGGTTTTGTCTCTTGAATTTTTATTTTGACTTGTAATTGAAGGCATGTGCATTTTAACTTTAATGTAGCTAAAGTTGTTGTGCCAAAAAGTGTATTCAAATATCACTTACATATTGTTATTGTAATAGAAAACAGAGTTATAGAATACAACATATTAGTCTCATGTCATGCAGCCTTAATATTAAGATCAGTCTGAGCTTCAGACTTTTAAACCATGTTTCCTCTTCTCATTTACACACTCACTGTTGTATTTAGAGTGACTCTTAAATGTTTTGAGTTCTTACATTCTCTGGCTTCAAGACGTCATAGTTTCATTTCCCCTTACAGCTCATACTCACCCTCTGCTCTGGACTCCTGTTTTGTTGCTCACAAAATATGACACATGTAAGACTCTGCAGTGCCACACATCTGTTTAAACTAATCATAAAGGGCAATATTAACTAAGTTCTGAAAGTGAAAGTGCTTTTTAAAAAAATAAAAAATAAAATGAAATAAAATAATACAATAAAAAGCATATAGCCCTGTACAATGGTATGGCATTAAAATTAATCTATTTTTCATACATTAAATTGTGGACATTTTAATTGCCAGAAAATACTTGGGTTTGTGGTGTCACCTTTTGGTCTCTGGTTCACCTGTGAAGTAAAAAACATTTCAAGTAACTTTATTTCTCTTTTACTGGGAAAAGGTCGAGAGTTTGCAGCTCTGTCAACAAAGCAAAGGGTGGTTACTTTGAGGAATTTGAATGTAAAATAAACAAATAGGATGAAAAATTCAGTAGATTTAGTGATTTGGAGTGAGATGGAGAGTTTGGTAAACTTGTTCTGTTCTGTTGTTTATGCTATAATTATCTGAAGAACTGTTCATATGTGACGTTAACAGTCTGTTGCTATGACTAGAACTGCCTTTTAACAGGAAGTGTCGATTCCTGGTCTCTGATTTTATCAAATAAATTTCCACCAAAAAGTCCGGTATGACTCATATGTGTTTTTTAAGTTATTCATTATGCATTTTTTGGCTGGTGCAATTTATACTCCAGAGCTACTTATAGTCTGAAAAATGCGGTAATTGTTGTGTATGGATGTACTTGTGTTTAGCTGGTAGCTGATGTAGACGTGTGGGTATGTCTTGTGGGTGATGTACGTGTGTGATGTAAACTTGTGGGTGTAGGTAGACGTGTGGGTGATGTAGACTGTGTGGTATGGATGTGAGTCTGTGGGTGATGTAGACTTGTTGGTGATGTAGACGTGTGGGTGTGTGTGTGGTATGAGACGTGTGGGTGATGTAGACGTGTGGGTGATGTAGACTTGTGGGTGATGTAGTGTGGGTGATGTAGACTGTAGACGTGTGGGTGATGTAGACGTGTGGGTGATGTAGACGTGTGTGATGTGTGGGTGATGTAGACGTGTGGGTGATGTAGACTTGTGGGTGATGTAGACGTTTGATGTAGACGTGTGGTGATGTAGACGTGTGGGTGATGTAGACGTGTGGGTGATGTAGACGTGTGGGTGATGTAGACGTGTGGGTGATGTAGACTTGTGGGTGATGTAGACGTGTGGGTGATGTAGACTTGTGGGTGATGTAGACTTGTGGGTGATGTAGACTTGTGGGTGATGTAGACGTGTGGGTGATGTGACGTGTGGGTGATGTAGACGTGTGGGTGATGTAGACGTGTGGGTGATGTAGACGTGTGGGTGATGTAGACTTGTGGGTGATGTAGACTTGTGTGGGTGATGTAGACTTGTGGGTGATGTAGACGTGTGGGTGATGTAGACGTGTGGGTGATGTAGACGTGTGGGTGATGTAGACGTGTGGGTGATGTAGACGTGTGGGTGATGTAGACTTGTGGGTGATGTAGACTTGTGGGTGATGTAGACTTGTGGGTGATGTAGACTTGTGGGTGATGTAGACGTGTGGGTGATGTAGACGTGTGGGTGATGTAGACGTGTGGGCTGAGCCTTGCACAGAATCTTACATCTAACCTAAAAAAAAATAATCCTTTCACAAGTAAAATTCAGTTACATCAATCCACTGCTCCAAATGTGTTATTTTAGCTAAACTAGCAGCCAATAAATGTAAATATGAGAGTTAAATCCCAGTTAAGATTGCAAAATAAATTATAATGTTGTTAATAAAGTTAAACTAAAAAAAACAAAACATACAAAACACAAGTAAGAGAAAACTGTTATAAAGCATTCATTTCAGTCGTGTCATTCATAAATGACACAGTTTAAGTGTAGTAAACATTAGTGGCCAGTCGAGGGCACACTACAGCAGCTCTGTTTACGAGTATTTAATATAGGGAAACTTGTTGCTATTAAAATCTTATTTCTTTAAAGGGCCCATCTCATGCAAAATCAAGTTTTCAGAGCTTTCTACCTTCTAAGAGTGATGTGTGGGCCTTGTATATGTACCTGAAGTGGTTTTTAGATTGATTCTGCGTTTTTTTTTAAACAAATTGCAGCATTTTTCTACCACCCTCCCAAGTGACAACGAACTAAAGCTGCTACAACAATGATGTGGCCAGCTACACCTATGATGGGTTTGACGTCGCCGGCTCCACCGCCTCCACCCCACATCGACTGACAATTCCCACATAAACACCTAAAGAAAAGCGACAGCATAAACTCATTGTTCTACACTGCAGTGAACACGATATAATAAGTTTATCTACTAGTGCGATTAATACTTTACCAATCAGTAATGTTCAGCTGATGTGGACGTGGTGCTTGAGCTTCGTGCTCCTCAAAGTCCTCTTCCAATTCCGGGTCCAACACATGCGGCTGAACGCGCTGTATCTCCGTGATGAATAAAAGTTTATTTCTACCGCTATCAGGGTGCACGCCTGTCTCCCCCTCCCTCCCTGAGATGGGCGGAGGAAGGGCGGCTCACTCGCCTATGTCACATTTGGAGGGCGGAGCCTGTGCTTTCTCAGGACGGGCGAGGGGATGAGCAATAGTTGGCCTTTCATAGTTCCTGGTCTGTGACTGTCTCCAAGAAATCAGTAAGATTTCAGAACATAATGGTGTAATGGATGTTCCAAAACCCAAATTGTGCTTGTTTATGGGCAGAAGATACAATGTGAAAAGAGTTATTTTACATGAGATGGAACCTTTAACTTTAAAAACAACACTAATGTACAAAAGATATACAGTGTTTGTTTATATAAATGCTAAACTATGTGGAAAAGATAATGAGACATGACTTTTGCTGGACCTCTAATTGCACTGGTTTTTATGTTAGAAACCTTAAGTGTCCAGTACCAACATGGGGGACATTCTGTTGGAACGTGCTGCATGGGCTCAGAACAGTGGTGCAGGTTCTGTATGTAGCAGTGCGCGCCTGCTGCCTTCTGCCACCAGGTGGCGCCTGGGCTTATAAAAGGGCACTCCCCGTAGCGTCTCGTTCTCTGACCTCGGCGCACTTCCGGGATAAGGCTCCGCCTTGTCACGCACAGGTAAACAACTGCTGTTCTCTAATTACAATTACAATTTTATAATTTAATGTGTGGTTTTATTGTAGTGCCACCGCTCCTAGAGTTCCGATGGCCCGATCGAAGTTATGGCTTGTGAGTAAAGCTCCTGTGTGTATTTGCTGTTGATCGCTACTAGCGCCACTGTGAGCCGCTGTCCACGGTTGGGTCGGTGTTGCTGTCAGATGCCCCGGCTGCTCGGCGTCAAGCCTCGTGGATGTAGAAGCATGTGTTTTGTGGTACGTTGGCTGGTCACTGGTTTAGGTTCATGTATGGGGCTACTACCAAGTGAAGGATAAAATATAATGTTCTTTGCTTTGTTTTATTGTGTTTTATATTGTAAGGACAAAGTCATCGTACAGCTGCTTTTGTGAAGCCCTTAATCGGCAGTTATGTGAACAGTGAACAGTCTACTCTTAAAGTTAAGATAACAAAAGGGAAACAAATGAATAATGGTAACAATAAATAATTTCATGTTTTGTAAGTCACTTGTCTCTGTCTATCAATTAACGAACCTGTGAGCCTTATTTTAGATTAGCAAATTTAGTTTAAATTTCTGGGCTATGCCCATTGGCGTTGTTGGTTTTGTTAAATTATATTACGTTGGGTTTCCCTCCTAAACCCTTTGTGTCGCCACATGTATATTTCTCTGACCATAAGAAAAGTTTGACTAGGTCTCGCTTCAGGCATGTTTTTGATAAGGGAGCAATGTTATAAAATGGTAAGAAAGATGTTGCATTAAACCCCATCTTTTAACATTATGGTTGCTAGGTAAGAGTGATGAAATGAGTAAGTAGTCTAACCTGTGAAATACTCTTTAGTGTTGTGGGTAACACTTCAGTTTCTTACCCGTTCTTGTGCACTGGAGGCCAAGATGTAGACCGTCTGTGTGGTTTTCTGGTGGGAGGAAGAAAAAGAAGTACAGTTTTCCACAGGACCAGGTCTGATCTGAGCTGGGATCTCCTCATACAGTCTGTTTGTCTGTAAAACATTTGATTTGGGTTTAACACGTTGTGAAAAAGCTACAATCTTGTCTAATAAAAGGTTAATCCTCCTGTGCTTGTTTCTGGTATATAGTTTTAAACTATGACACTTGTGAACCACTATGTTATAATTTATACACTTTTTAATATTCATATTCATCAAAACCATTTGCCGTAATGAAAGAAACAAATCCACTGATTTCCGCGTTTGAAAACTGTAGAGCCCAATGAGAGCTGACGTCACCGTAAACATCACAACAAAGTACCACACAGCTGTCAACAACTCAGATGGACAGCAACAAATCACACTAGTAAGTAGCAGATTTTTATATTTTTTTTTTTTTCATTTGTACCAAAATGACTAGGCAACACTCACAAATCCTACCTATCACAGTTTAAGAAAAAAAAAAAAAGAGAGAATGAAGTAAGTACAGAGCAGAGGACAGAGGCTGTGTACTGGTGGCAGGAGATGAACGGCAATATATGTATGGCATGTAGAAAATAAGTGATTTAAGTTTGCTCAAAAATGCACAAATCACTCCAACTCCACTTCAGGAGAGGGGAAATAACTATAACATTGCTAAATGCTCTGAAAAGTTACTTTTACATAAAAGATCTGCTTTACAACATTCAGTGCCTGCTACTAATAAGCAAACATTTTTGGATCACTGGTTCAGAATATTTCTAGCTCTCTTAAAGTTTTTTTTTTTTTTTTTTATTAATGGGCACTATATCACACATTTTAAAAGGAGCTGGATAAGATTTTTTAAATAAATTTCCTAAACATTATGTCCCCAGAAATGAGAAACAATGTTCAAATCAAATAGAGTTTTACTGACAGCAGTTATAATTATAATATAATGCACATTTTTTGGCCAAGTTGTAATATACTGTATGTTTGGTTCTCAAGATGATTATTCAATCAGAAAGCTGAATGAGCCTCACATGGGTCTCTAGTTTAAACCTAAAAGGACTTTCTCTGATCTGAATCCTACCTAAACCCAGGACCTACAGTCAGTCATGAATCAGTGCTAGTGCAGCCTCTGCTGCTACACTAGATTCTGTCCATGCACTGAGAACGAAGGAAACTTGTACTGTACATGCTCTTTGGTAAAAGTTCACTCTGTCATCAGTTTTAAACGGGTTTTAAACATGTACTGTTGTAGTGATGAGTCTTGTAAGCTGCTTCAGTGTATAGGACATGTCACTGCACTGACGCATGACACTTCTGAGAAAGACTACAGGAAGTAACTGAAACATGTAAAGACAGTAAACAAACTCCTGTCTGACTAAAAGAATCACAAATTCTTGTATGTGTCCTGTCTGCAGGTTAAGACAACAGCACCAGGTTCAAATGGGATTGTTAGACCCTTTTTAAAAACTGTAATTGCGCAGGCTACATAGAGTTCTTTTAAAGACTATTTCATTTTTATTACAAATAAATAAATAAATAAACTACTGCACATGGTTGGGGGTCAGTGTATTGGCTCACCTCTGGAATTTCACAGTCATCAGCAGCAGTTGGATCTTCTGTAAAAAAGTATTAAATGAAGAAGAAGACAAAAAAAAGTGCATTGTTTCCATTGGAGTGTGGCTCACCTGTTGGTCTATTGGTTTTCTTTTTCCAGCACCAAATCAAAATACTCCCTGATACAATAATCAGAATGGTGGTTACACTCACAGCAGCATACTGCAGCACAACTGAAAGAGACGTGTTCAGAAGTGTCAGTGAAACTCAAATCATGCAGATGTAATTCTGAACATCATTTTTCAGAAGCTACCAGACAGTGTGGATGAGTTGTGCTCCTCCTGAGGTTGCTGTGAGCTCGTCACTTCAGATGCTTCTTGTGTCCTTTGTGTCGTCTGTGCTGGTGTCACATTATGGAGGGATGTGGTGGGAGCAGCTCCGAGGGTCAAACCTGGTGTTGGGGTTTCCACTGCAAAGAAAGATTAAAGGAGACATGTTAAGCATAATCAACTTTTAAAGCAGAAGTAACTTTTCAGTGATAGAGCTCCCCCTGCAGCTTCCCTATGAAAATACATGGTCAGGTGAAATCAATGTAGTCAACTTTATATTTAACAATTATTATATCTGTTTTAAGGCTGTAAAATCCCTCACCACACACTTAATACACTTTTCTCACATAGGACCTTTTTTGCAGCCTTCTTAAAACGTATTGCTGCTGTCGTCCTTTTGTTATTTTTGTCCTTTATGAAATGAATGAACAAAGATGAATTTATTCCATAATGGAGTTTACAGCACCGAGTCCTGCACGGGTCCATTTTTGGAGACCCGCACCCGAGCAGTATAACACCACACCCACCCGTCAGCCCGAGATTATATCAAACTTTTGTGCTGCCTACACCATGGACTGAACCAAGACTAAACCAGGACTAACCCAAGACTAAACGTAGGACTGATTCCAGGACTGAAACAGGAGGACTAAAGCAGAACTGAACTAGGACTAAAACAGAACTTAACCAGGACTGAAACAGGACTCACTGTCGGAGCAGGCTTGGAGGTGACTGCAGGAGAAAGGACCGGCTCAGCTCTGCACCTCACGGAAGTAAATGTGGCCGTCGCCTGATCGCGCTTTGTGGACAACCTGCTCCGGGGGCTCTCTTAAGTCCAACATTAGTCCTGGTTTAGACCTGGTTTAATTCTGGTGTATTCCTGGTTTAGTCCTGACCCGCTCGCATACCTGCCCGTAAAATTCCAGAACATTAAAACCCGCCCATTTCAGCAACTATTTCCTGCACCAGACCCGGTGCAGGACTCTGCCCTTCCTTCAGTGTGTCCAGAAGTTTTTTGTGCGATGGTTAGCACCTTCCTCTGCCTTTTGGGTGTGACCGCAGGAGCCTTTGTCAGTGCAGAACGTTTTGTCGACATTGTGGGTTTTGTCAGGCAGAAAACTTGCAAACATTCAGCACTTCAGAATCACACTGATAGAGAGCGAACATTTATGTACATTTGGCAAGTGAACGCATTCTGTACTGTACAGGAGACACGGCACAGAGGAGATTGATTGACAATGGTCTACAGCCCCTTAGCCAATCAGGACGCAGGGGGAGGAACACAATGCGCCTTCATACACTGAAAAAAAACATGCAAAATTGTACCAAAAAAATCTGCAATAAAACCGCAATATAGCGAGGGACAACCTGATAAAAAGATAAAAAAATGTATCAATCCCCTCATCCCCTCTCTAAATAACACTTCACAGTTCTTCTCACTTTGGATTTTGATGTCACCAAACTCATGTTTACTAAATCCATGAATAATTCATGACTCAAACAGAATAGGTGAATCTTTGGCTCTTTCACCTACTTGTCTCATGAAAATGTTATTGCTTTACTGGAATGTTCCACAGTATCACACTAAAAAGAAACTACACTATGACATTTAACTCTCATTTATTTAATTACAGATATTTTTATTCCATCCATTCATTTTCGTCCGCTTATCCGGGGCTGGGCAGCAGCCTAAGCAGGGACTCCCAGACTTCCTTCACCCCAGACACGTCCTCCAGCTCCTCCGGGGGAACCCCGAGGCGTTCCCAGGCCAGCTGAGAGACATAGTCCCTCCAGCGTGTCCTGGGTCTTCCCCGGGGCCTCCTCCCTGTGGGACATGCCCGGAACACCTCCCGAGGGAGGCGCCCAGGAGGCATCCGAAACAGATGCCCGAGCCACCTCAACTGGCTCCTCTCGACGTGGAGGAGCAGCGGCTCTACTCCGAGCTCCTCCCGTGTGACTGAGCTCCTCACCCTATCTCTAAGGGAGCACCCAGCCACCCTGCGGAGGAAACCCATTTCAAGCGCTTGTATCCGCGATCTCGTCCTTTCAGTCACTACCCAGAGCTCATGACCATAGGTGAGAGTAGGAACGAAGACTGTCCGGTAAATCGAGAGCTTCGCCTTTCGACTCAGCTCCTCTTCACCACAACGGTCCGATACAGCGACCGCATCACTGCCGAAGCTGCACCGATTCACCTGTCAATCTCACGTTCCGTCCTTCCCTCACTCGTGAACAAGACCCCGAGATACTTGAACTCCTCCACTTGAGGCAAAGACTCCCCACCCACCTGGAGAGGGCAAGCCACCTTTTTCCGGTCGAGAACCATGGCCTCAGACTTAGAAGAGCTGATCTTCATCCCAGCCGCTTCACACTCGGCTGCAAACCGCCCCAGTGCACATTGCAGGTCCTGGTTCGATGAAGCCAACAGGACAACATCATCCGAAAACAGCAGAGATGAGATCCTGTGTTCCCCAAACCGGACCCCCTCCGGCCCCTGACTGCACCTAGAAATTCTGTCCATAAACACAATGAACAGAACCGGTGACAAAGGGCAGCCCTGGAGGAGTCCAACATGCACCGGGAACAGGTCTGACTTACTGCCGGCAATGTGAACACAGCTCCTGCTCCGGTCATACAGGGACCGGACAGCCCTTAGCAAAGGGCCCCGGACCCCATACTCCCAGAGCACCCCCCACAGGACACCACGAGGGACACGGTAGGTTGGGCAAACTCCCATGAACCCTCGAGCATGGAGAGTGTAGAGCTGGTCCAGTGTTCCATGGCCAGGACGAAAACCACACTGCTCTTCCTGGATCCGAGGTTCGACTATCGGCTGGATTCTCCTCTTCAGTACCCTGGCATAGACCTTACCGGGAAAGGCTGAGGAGTGTGATCCCCCTATAGTTGGAACACACCCTCCGGTCCCCCTTCTTATACAGAGGGACCACCACCCCGGTTTGCCAGTCCAGAGGTACTGTCCCCGACCGCCACGCGATGTTGAAGAGGCGTGTCAGCCAAGACAGCCCCACAACATCCAGAGACTTAAGGTACTCAGGACGGATCTCATCCAACCCTGGAGCCTTGCCACCAAGGAGCTGTCCAACCACCTCAGTGACTTCAGCCAGGGTGATGGATGAGTCCACCTCCGAGTCCCCAGACTCGGCCTTCCTCCTCGGAAGGACGTGACGGTGGGATTGAGGAGATCCTGAAAGTATTCCTTCCACCACCGGACAACGTCCTCAGTCGAGGTCAGCAGCTCTCCCCCGCACTGTAAACAGTGTTGGTGAAGAACTGCTTCCCCCTCCTGAGGCGCCGGACGGTTTGCCAGAATCTCTTTGAGGCCGTCCGATAGTCCTTCTCCATGGCCTCCCCGAACTCCTCCCAGCTCCGAGTTTTTGCCTCCGCGACCACACGGGCTGCAGCACGCTTGGCCCGCCGGTACCCGTCAGCTGCTTCAGGAGTCCCCCGAGCCAGCAAGGCCCGATAGGACTCCTTCTTCAGCTTGACGGCATCCCTTACTTCCGGTGTCCACCACCGGGTTCGGGGATTGCCGCTGCGACAGGCACCACAGACCTTACGCCCACAGCTCCGAGCAGCTGCATTGACAATAGAGGCCGAGAATGAAGCCCCCTCGGACTCCATGTCTCCAGCCTCCCCCGGAATCCGGGAGAAGTCCTCCCGGAGGTGTGAGTTGAAAGTCCCTCTGACAGAGGGCTCTGCCAGACGTTCCCAACAGACCCTCACTATACACTTGGGCCTGCCAGGTCTTTCCGGCTTCCTCCTCCGCCAGCGAACCCAACTCACAACCAGGTGGTGATCAGTTGACAGCTCAGCCCCTCTCTTCACCCGAGTGTCCAAGACACGCGGCCGGAGATCAGATGACACGACTACAAAGTCGATCATCGACCTCCGGCCTAGGGTGTCCTGGTGCCACGTGCACTTATGGACACCCTTGTGCTCGAACATGGTGTTCGTTATGGACAAACCGTGTCTAGCACAGAAGTCCAATAACAAAACACCGCTCGGGTTCAGATCAGGGAGGCCGTTCCTCCCAATCACCCCTCTCCAAGTGTCACTGTCGTTGCCCACGTGGGCGTTGAAGTCCCCCAGGAGAACAACGGAGTCCCCGGTCAGTGCACTGTCTAGTACCCCTCCCAAGGACTCCAAGAAGGCCGGGTACTCAGCACTGCTGTTCGGCCCGTAGGCCGACACCACAGTGAGAGACCTGTCCCCGACCCGAAGGCGCAGGGACGCGACCCTCTCGTTCACCGGGGTGAACTCCAACACACAGTGGCCTGAGCTGTGGGGCAATGAGCAGGCCCACACCAGCCCGCCGCCGCTCCCCGCGGCCAACGCCAGAGAAATGGAGAGTCCAGCCCCTCTCAAGGAGTTGGGTTCCAGAGCCCAAACTGTGCGTGGAGGTGAGGCCGACTATATCTAGTCGGTAACGCTCAACCTCCCACACAAGCTCAGGCTCCTTCCCCCCCAGCGAGGTGACATTCCATGTCCCCAGAGCTAGTCTCCATGCCCGGAGATCCGGTCGTTGAGGCCCCCGCCTTCGACTGCTGCCCAGATCTCTCTGCACCGGCCCCATATGGATCCTCCTGCGGGTGGTGGGCCCACGTAAGGACGGCCCCACGTCGCTCCTTCGGGCTGAGCCCGGCCGGGCCCCGTGGGGGAAGGCCCGGCCACCAGGCGCTCGCTGACGAGCACCCACCCCAGGCCTGGCTCCAGGGTGAGGCCCCGGTGACGCCAATCCGGGCAATGTAACTGGCCTCTGTAGTTTGTAACGTAATCCATTAAATTACTTAAAGTGAGTAACATAATCTGAATACTTTGGATTACTTGATTTGTTGTAGAGAAGCAAAGACCAGGAAATCTTCACATAAGATGTTTTATCTGCTAAAAGAAAATAAAAAGTCCAGACTTTACTTAACCAAATAAAAATATTATTGATAGAAGAGGAGGAGACACGTCCATGCAGCATGGTTTAGTCCTGTTCAATCCTGTTTTAGACCTGGTTTTAGACCTGATTTAGATCTAGTTTAGACCAGGTTTTAGTCCTAGTTTAGCCCTGGTTTAGGCCTGGTTTAGTCCTGGTTTAGTCCTCGTTTAGACCTGGTTTTAGACCTGGTTTAGATCTAGTTTAGACCTAGTTTTAGATCTAGTTTAGACCTGGTTTTAGACCTGGTTTAGTCCTGGTTTAGACTTGGTTTTAGTCCTGGTTGAGACCTGGTTTTAGACCTGATTTAGTGTCCGGCAATGAGTGGAATTACTGAGAAGAAAAAAAAAAAAAAGGGATATAGCCCAAAATGTGAAAACAGGAACATACCGCTGTGTAATCCATTTATTTCAACAAAGTAACTGTAATCCAATTACCACTCACTGAAACAGTAACTGTAACTGAATTCAGTTACTCATAATTTGTACTCTGATTACGTAATGCCGGTACATGTAATCTGTTACTCCCCAACACTGCCAATAACATA